AGCTGTGTCTTCCGTGTGCATACCAGGCCTGGCAGCCACTACTGTACCTGAGCAGATTTGCCCCTTTCTTTTTAAAATAGACATTTGAACGTGTGGATGTCCTGTTAAATATTCAACTGGCCACCACTGATGTACATTAAAATCATGCGTAGATTTTCTGCTTTTAAGCAAGGAAGCTATAAGCATCCTTGCACTGTTGTACTAGTGTACAGTGCCTCTCAATCCCTAGAACTGGAATTGCTGGGCCAAAAGACACGCATACTTTAAATTTTGCTAGATTGCAGTGATCTGGACATGGAATCTCAAAACACTTTCCACAAAATGCCTGTGAGAAAGCACAGAAGGTGTGTGTGGCAAGTCCAGCTCCAGGTGCCCTGGGAGGTGCCGCTGTGCCCAGGCCCCTGTGTGGAGACACCACAGCTGGTTTATTTACTCACTTGTTGAAGACACGTGAGCTGTTTCAGTTTCAGGTTATTATGAATAAAGCGGTTGTAAACATTCTTGTATAAGCTATTTGGCAGGCGTATGTTTTCTTTTCTCTTGGTAGATACCTAGGAGTGGAACGGCTGCATCCTGTGGTAGACAGATGTGTGTGTATGTGACTTTATCTAGGAAACCACCAAACTATTTCCCAAAGTGGTCGCACCATTTTACATTCCCGTCAACAATGTACGGGAGTACACACACACACACACACACACACACACACACTCGTAATAGTTGCGGTGCGCACCGTCTAGGGGATGGACACGCTTGAAGCTCTGACTCGGGTGGGGTAAGGGCAATATAGGTAACCTAAACATTTGTAACCCCGTAATGTGCTGAAATAAAAAAAAATTAAAATGAAAATGCGTGAGCGTTCCAGTTGCCCCGTATCATTGTCAACACTTGGTCCCATCAGCTTTTGGAGATGGGATGAGGTCTTGCTGTGCTTCCCAGGCTGCTGTGCAGTCACTGTTCCCAGGCGATCACAGCTTACTGCAGCCTCAAACTCCTGGCCTGAAGTGACTGTCCCACCTCAGCCTCCTAAGTAGCTGGGATCACAGGATGGTGCCCTGTACCCAGCCTCCCTTGCAGTTTTTTGGTTTTTTTTTTTTAAGAAACTGATGTTTATTTTCTGTTAACCTCATTCCCATCTTGCTTAGGAGCCTGTGGATGAATAGCTGGAGACCCGTCAGTGGTTGTTCCTGCCTGTTCGGTGGCCTGGGCACTGGGTGCTGCACGGTCTTCCGTGGGGAACTGCAGAATAGGCACAGGGCACCTGCGTGCCTTCAGGCCAGGCGGCAAGCTCAGGCTGCGTGGCAGTGAACTCCAGGGCTGGCGCAGCCCATTCATCTCTTTGGCCACAGCTGTTTTAGCAGCGGCCACTGTTTACCAAGTAGGCCTCAGTTCAGCACAGCCCAGTGATTTGACAAACATGTGAAGTCCCTGCTACCTGCCCGGCACTGTGCTGGTGTTGAGGCAGGAACATAGGCATGACCATGTCCCTGCCTCAGAGCCTATAATGTCTGATCAAACAGAACATTTCATTCTCAAAATTCTGGGAAGTAGAGGGTTTATAGTAATATAATTTTATTTATTTCTTTTAGAGATTGTATCTTGATCTGTAACCCTGGCTGAAGTGCAGCGCCGTCATTATAGCTCACTGCAGCCTCAAACTCCTGGGCTCAAGCGATCTTCCTGCCTCAGCCTCCGAAGTAGCTGGGACTACAGGCACCATGATGCCCAGCTAATTTTTCTATTTTTAGTAGAGACGGGGTCTTGCTCTTTCTCAGACTGGTCTCAAACTCCAGACCTCAAGTGATCTTCTAGCGTTGGCCTCCCAGAGTGCTGGGATTATAGGTGTGAGCCTACTATGCCCAGCCAATCTTTTGTTTAAATTATTGTTTAAATTATTTTAAACATCTTTTATAGTTACCCACATAGCCACCTTCTCAGGTATTCTTCATTCTAGTGCAGAACTGGGATTCCATTTGAGATCATTTTCCTCTGGCCAGAGGAATTTCCTTTAGTGTTTTTTGAAGGCTAGGTCTTCTGGTGACATTCTCAGCTTTTGTTTATCTGAAAACATCTTTCATTGCCTGTAATTTTTAAAGGACATTTTTGTTAGATATTGAATTCTGATCTCGATGACTTTTGTTTGTTTTACTTTTCGTATTTTACACCTGTCATTTTTTTGTCTCCTGGCTTCCATTGCCTTTGATAAGGAGTCCACTGTCATTCTTATTGCTGGCTCCATGAATGTCATGTGTCTTTCTTTTTTGTCTCCTTTTAGAACTTTCCTCTTTAGTGCTGGTTTTCAGCAGCTGAACTATGATATGCCTCCATGTGTTTTCCTTTGAACTTATATATTTTTTGAGGGCTTGCTGAACTGTTTGGATGTGTGGGTTGGTATTATATGTTTTCATCAATTTGTAACCTTCTTACATATTACCTCTTTAAATATTTCTTCTGCTACATTTACTTTCTTACCTCCTTTTGGGAATCTAATTTTACATACATTTGACCATTTGATCTTGTCCCACAGGTCTCTAATATTCTTTTCTGTTTTCTTCTTTTCCCTCGTTTTTCTTCTTTCTTCTCTCTGCATTTCAATTCAGACCATTTCTGTTGATGTGACTTTGAGTTGAAAAATCTTCTCTTCAGCTGTATCTAGTCTGGCGTTCAGCCAATTCTATGAATTCTTCATTTCCGATATTTTAGTTTTTCCTTTACACTAGTAAAGTTTACACACTCCTGCTCCTAAAGCCCTTACTCCTGGGGTGTTGCCCTTCTGGGGTCTCAACTGAGTTCCTAGGTTGCACCAAGATCTTTTACCTTTGCCACGACATCTTCCAGTCCTGTGAAAACTCTGCAACTTCCTTTCAGCTCTCATGCAACACCTACAGTCAGAAGAGGTTCAGAGAACAGGGTTAGGTTGCTGTAATAAAACTTTCTATAGTTATACACTTATGAAAAAAAAAGGATACTATTGATTTTGTACCCTGCCTCATTATAGCAATAACTATTTCTCATCAGTGGATACAGAAACTAATTATCAGGGGGAAAAAAGCTCTACACATGCTATTAAAAGATAGATCTCCATATAATTCAACTTTTTCGTCTTGATCAAAATTTACATGTATTTATGTTGCTTTTGTCTATGATGAGCTAATAACAGTTGTAATATTAATACTAATTCAATCTAGGAGAAATGTTTTTAACATGAGACTTAAGTTCACAGGAAATTATAAGTTAAAGTATGTATGTATATACATGTATTTTATATATCTGTACCTAACCTGTATCTCCAGGAATAAATCATAGGGTCAGAAATAACTTATAGAATGAAATAACTATAATAATAACTACAATATAAAATAACTATAATAATAAAGTTATACAAATAATTTTAGGATAAAATTTGTGTGAGAATTTGAATGGGAATGAATGAGTTCAGGAGGAAGATTTAATATAAAACTCTTGACTATTAACCAAGAGATTATTTGTATATTATACAACATAGGATGATGGGTTTCAGATCATTCTGGTTCATTTGATAACATTTAAGAAATGATATCTGGTTTTATTTTAAAAGTCAGTATTTACAATATTTGGGAAATTACACCCACTGCAACTATTTAAACATGACAGAAATGTTTCCTGTTAGTTTAAATGTGGGGGCTTATAGATTTTCACAGTATCAGTTTATTGGGTACTCACGCAAAAAGCTCTAAGGATGGTGGGTCCAGCTACTTTTTCCGTAGCCTGAATCATATAAGGGACACATAACGGATTTCCTTGTTCTCAATTCAATTTTGTCCCCTAAAGTGCACACAGCAAACAGGTAGAACTTTTTAAGAGTTAAATGGGATCATGTTACTTCTGTGCTCCGAATGCCCAGTGGTTTCCCATTTCGCTCGGCGGAGTGCGAGACGCTCCTGGTGGCTTCTCCTTCCCTTGGTCACAGACGCTGGGGCCCGGGACCCCGCACGTCCCTGCCTCAGGGTCCTGCCTGGGGGTCGCGCTCACCTGCGCCAGGCCCCGATGCAGACGCGTCCACGCTGTCGCACCTCTGGGTCCCGCTTCCTCCTTTCAGCACCTGTCGCTCTTTGTCTGCGCGGTGTATTTACCCACGTGTGTGCCGTGGGCCCCGCACCCACCCGGGCCTCCCATCCGCCCGCCGTCGACATCCGCGGACCCGCGTGGGCCTCGCCCCGGCGCGCAGCAGCACGCTGAGGACGCCGTGCGGCCACGGGTCGCGGGTCGCCTCGCTGACGAGTGACCATCTGCACGACGAGTTCTCGGCTGCGGACCTCATGACCATTTTCTGCTGTGGTAAAACACTAGCTCTGACCTGTCAGTGCCCAACCGCGCGAGGCGCCAGCCACCTCAGACCGAGAGCAGCGCCCCGCGGCCTCGGTGGCCCCGGGCAGGCCGCGGGCCTGAAGCTCGGCCGCTGCCCCGTCTGCGGAGCCGCCCGCCCACCCGCCTGCCCGCCTGCCCGCCTGCCCGCCTGCCCGCCTGCCGCGGCCTCGGCCCCGTGGGTCCCCGCCGCCCCGATCCCGCGCGGGCCCGGGTCTTCCGCTCCGGGTTTTCGCGCCGCCCGAAGCCCGGCTTGCGTAGGGGCAACGCCGCCGGACGTGCTGGCGCTCGGCGCGGCGTGGCTCGCTATTGGCCGGCCGCGGTAGCCCCACTGCCGTGCACAGCCCCCATTGGCCG